TATTTTTTCTCTAGGCAGGGGGGGGGGGGGGCACCAATGACAAACAGTGAATTTCTCCCCAATCTATGAAAATAGTCACCTGTAGTAATATATGAAATTACAGTATAGTATGCTTTTACTATATTTTTTCCTGCATTGATATCGAAAAGATACTCTACTTTCAGAATTTACAATTGTTCTTACTCGTGTAACATCAGCACTAGATATTGACTGATATCGACTGAGTCAAGCATTTTCATGCTGATATGTGCATAGCTGATCAATTACACTTTGTACAGTCTCCTATTCTTAGACTACAATGCAACTGCCACATGAATGTTTAGCTCTTGGAACTATTATATTACAATTGCAGTCAAATTTATCATAGATTACAAGATAAACAGGTGGAAGGAGGGGGGATAATCATAATTGAGTTAAATTCTTTTTTTTTCCACATGAAAATTGTGATTTATCTTTTTTACTTTGAACACACTCTGTATGATATGGATTTTTCGAAATTCATTTCTTTTCATTTTTTTAGTATACTAATTTATATTTAAGAATACACACCAATACTGATATGCCAGATGATCACCCTTTTCTGATCGATTCCACACCATTTCTTTCACAATGCAATCACATGACCAGAAGTTAACTTATTTAATGTCACGCCAAAAATGATACATAATTGCATAAATTCAATTCCATTTAACACTATAACGCATCCCCATGCACTCTCTTTTGCGTGGGGGAGCTAGCCGTAGAGAGTGCATCAGCCTGCATTCGGGATGATTTATTGGATCTTGAATTGGGCTAATTGAGAAGGCCACATCTATCAGCCCATTAGGGGCTACTATAAACACCATACCCCTCTCTGTTATTACACTTGATTGATTGAGAACGGCGTGTGTTTGCACTCCGAAAGAGGTGGTTCAACTTCAACTTGAGACGGAACACTAAAACCCTCGTTAGGAAAGCCGGAAGAGTTTGATACATAGACCACCGGGGTTTGTCTGATACGTGCTGTAAATCATTATAAAAGACCAAGCCATGAGCACCTGAGCTGGCAAATACCGACGCTATAGAAGACTTTGTTATTATTGTTATTTGATGTTTTAGATGGTTTGAACTTGATAACATCTTAAAGGCATCGTTTAACAATGTGTCCAGTTTAACAAATCTGAGATGGACGGCCCTACGTGTTATCAGTGTCTGTGATATGGTGTTATATTGAAGCCCTAAAAGAATTGCGCTTCAAAATATCATGAAGTGCCTCAAAAAAGTAAAAATCTTGAGTGACTGGTTTTACCATACTCATTTTCCCCAATAGTTTGCAGTGTTACATAAAACGTTGGGGAAGTGTTTTTTTTAATTTCGATTTCCAATCATAAATATCTTAATAGTCAGACTTGCGATCGGCTTGTAAAAGTCATGGGATTTCTGACTGACCTTAGGGCTCATAATTATGATTTCAGCATGAGCCAAATGCAGCATTTTGTTTAAATTCTGAGGCAAAAATACTCAATCCCTCTAATGGAAAAAAAAAGCTGTTTAACATTTTTGGGACTTAGTGAGAATGTTGCGTGGTATTATTACTTCAGAAAAACAATAAAAATAAATGCTGGATATCAATAAAACATCTAAATGAAAAAAAGAAGCTGTTAAACCTTTTTTTGACTTAGTGAGCACCTTGCATGGTGGAAATGAGAGCTATAGATGTATCCATTATTATTACTTCAGATAAGCAATAAAAAATAAATTCTGGATATCAACTTTTTTGAAGATTATTTATGAAATTTATGTATGGTTCATAAAATTGTGTACAAATATTGTTGAAAATATGACATTAATACCTGACTGCAAGGAAATTTATATATGACTTTGGAGAGTTATTGAAATTGTCGAACATTGATATATGCCTTTCTATTATTAATTGATGTGCATTGGAAATATTAAACCAGTTGGATACCAACTGCATGTAACTCAATCATGTTTTAAAGAGAGAAAAAAAGAAGGGGGAATTCATCTGTGCATTCAGTTCACTTTAAGTTTATTCCAAGCATGCATGCACCCCCAATACCCACATGCCAATAGATCATGGTGAATTTTCATCGCCATGCACAGGCAGTTCGTATACATGCTACAGCCCCTGTATATATCATATGAATTCAGGCTCGAATAGGCTTTGATATGTATTTATGCGCATTTCCAATTAAGGGGAAACAATTTCATACTCTAAGGAATATTGAAGAGGATTTTGCATCCTCCTTATTATAATAAGAGAGTCAAGGGAGAAAAGCAATATATCTGTGAAAAGAAATTCATAAATGGAGTGCTAGTAACTGACAGTGTATGGCAGGGGTTTTAAGTTTTTAACAGTCGACCGATTTCTCACTTGATGGTGGGTTGTTTTTGCCCTTTCTCTCTCTTTATTTCTCTGTCTCTGTCTCTGTATCTGTCTTTCGCTCTCACTCTCCCTCTCCCCCCCCCCCCTTCTCCCTTCTCTCTCTCTCTCTCTCTC